ACCATCACTTTGTAGTTTCACATGTTCCTCTGTCCTCTGTACCTCCTATAAACACAGCAGGACCCAGAGACTTGAGCAGGTTCAAGTGCACTTATTTTGGCAAGACGTTATGGTAGGTATTGCATCCTTCCATCGCAATAGGTAAGTCTGGTTACCCTGTCTTTCTGCAAGTCATTAAAGAACAGGATAACTCATACTTCATGTCAAAGTTTGTTCTCTGAGAGACTCCTTTTTTAGGCACCACTGTACCCCCCTATTACCTCGGTTTCTCTACTACCTACAGTGTAGAACTTCGAGCTGTCAGTCATGACTTCCCACCCATTTGCGAACATCTCAGGGTGAGGATCCTTGTCATCTACTTGTGTTATAGATATTGTCTATGGCTGTTGGTTTTGCTATTCCAGTTGCTCTACCCTTTTGGTAATATTTGAAGCTAATCAAAACTATACAACAATGCAACTATACAACAATTAGAACAACTATACAACAATTAGAACAACAATACAACAATTGGAACGTTTATTTTTAGCATCTTAAATTAACACTTAAGTCATTGGTTTGGATGATTAAAAAGGTTTTTTTTTAAATGAATGTATTTATGCTAAACATATCACAAGTACCCTTTTAGCTATTATCTCATCAGTTTCGCTTTTTTTATAATGTTAGCTGTGATCATAAGGTTTAAGTGTTGCTAGAATAAGGTGGTTATTTCTACCCATATCTGAGCGGTCTGAAATGAGTATTTTCATTGCTGTGTAGTGACAAGAAATTTGTAACTTATTTTAACATTTCTCTTATCCCATGAATCAATAGTTGTGAAGGTTTATATTAGGTTGCCAGGAAAGTCATGAAGGTATTTTTCTATGTGAAATTGCATCATGACTTTATTTCTGAGGTTATATAAGATGTGTATTAGGCTTTCTCACTGTTTTCTGCATAAACTATAAAACTATCGTAGTGAGGCAACATAGATCTATTTATGTTACTGATTCTTTAACATTAGTTTAGAATGTAACTTTCAACTAGAATGGATAATTTATGTTAAGTATTCCTTGTGACTATATACAACTGACTCTTGAGTATAGAATTTACATATGTATATGTGCACAAATACATGAATGGAATTTTTAAAATAAATATAAGTCAAGCTCATTAATTATTTTTTCAGATTGTCTGGATCTTTATTCATTTCGTCTGCTTAATCCATTGGCTTCTGACTGAGTTCATTTAATATCTTCTACCCTGATTATAAGTTTGTCGAACTTTTAATTCTTAACTTTTGCTCTGTGTATTAAAGCTATGATATTGGGCACATAAAAGTTCATCATTCAAAAGCTTCTTGGATGATATATTATCCCACTTTATTCCTATTTATCATTTCTCCATAAATTCCATTTTATCTAATATTAATATTGCTGTACCACTTTTCTTTGTGTATTTGCTTGATGTATCTTTTTCCCTTCTTTCAGTTCCAATCTCTAGTGTGGTTTTGTTTCAGGGTTCTCTAATTTAAAAAATGCCCAATCTGCTGATGAATGCCTTTAATTAAGTTTAACCCATTTAAATTTGTAAATATTGACATATTTGGATTTATATCTGCACTCTCAATTTAGGTTTTCTATTCACCAAACTTTTTAAAGTTCCTTTTCCTGACTCTCGTTAAATGAAGATCATTTTCATTCTTTCGGTTTGGAATATATAGATTATATTGCAATGTAATCTTTTTTCAATAAAGCCTGAAGTTACTCTGTATTTCTCT